CTGTCCAAATAAGTCTCCATGGTAATGTGGCCGGCATGACTAAACGCTGAAGGCGTACACTGTTACCTTCCACCAAAGATGGTTCCTATTTTTCTACTTGCATTTTTTACGTGCTTTCAAACTGCTAGGTTGGCAGAAGCTAGGACAAGTAACAGGAGCTCACTCCATTATGCGGCACTAGGGATTCAAACTGCTGACCTTCTGATCAACAAGCTCTGAGCCACTGAGCCACTGCATCCTGTTTGATTCTTCATTCAATCATGACTTGTTTTATCAGGCATTGTAAGTTTTTGGTCAATTCAGTCATTTAATATGAAAAGTATTAATAATGGTCACCTACCAAATGACTGACATTGATTGACTCACAGTCAAGTATTCCAATAAGCTACAAATATTCCTAAAACAGTTGCAGCCAACATCCAGTTCCATCCTGATCGTCATACAGAAATGTTCTGTGAATCTTAGACATAGTTAAGAGCTGGTTGTGTACTTGATGTATGCAATTTGTGATATGTTAGGGCACAAAAGAATAATTCCTTTAATGTTCAATGGAACATATCTACTAAATGTGCTTAAAGAAATAATGTTAGAAACAAATTATTTTTATGTGCTGACAAATGAATTATGACTTCTTGATCATTATGGATGTTTAGATCAGTAAATTACCATTTAATGATATAGTATAATACTTTAGTAGATTCCCAGGTTATTCAATTAATAATATTTTCATATACTTTCTGTGGGCTATATGCTCAGGGACATTTTCAAATGTTTGAATACATTTAAGTATATCTTCATTTGTGGATGTTATTATTTCAAATTACTTGTCATACTGATATAAAAAAATGAAGAAAAATACTGATTTTTTATATGAAGAAAAATGAATACAATATGAATATTAGTATTGGTGAAATATTAGTACTGATATGGATTCCTATATGAATATTTTAAGGTGTTTTAAACATATTGATAAATTATTAAGAAGGTTTTTATGGAATGATCTAAGTCCCAGAATTTATATATCTAAGCTACATTTTTCATATGGTGATGGGGAATTTAATTCTTCTGATTTTCAGCTTAATTGTAGTTTTACTATTATTTCTTTATGGAATTCAAGTGTTTAAATTCGCATTTTAGTCAAAATTGTATTTCCAGCATTAAATGCCATAAGACAAATTAGAAAGAAAAAGGTTACAATAGCTTTCTAGTTTTGACACTTGTTTACATTAAAAACTTACATGATATAATCATCCCAATAGAGGGATGATACATAGCACTGGAAGGTTACACCTTATTCAGAAGAAACAGACTCAACAGAAAGGATGAGATTTATAGTGTATAAAAAATAATCAGGAATTCGGGAATCAGGCATGGAAATCCTGTTGAAAGAATCTGGGTGGGAGTTTATTGCTGACACTTGGCAGGCAGAAGATGCAAATAAAACTTTCTATGTTAAATACAACAGTAATAATGAGAGAAATTCATTTTGTGACATCATTCATTCTATTGGCAGAATAGTTTTCTTTTCTATTCCCTTGTTGATAACTCCATGTGTCAGCAGGCAGAAGAAAAACAAAGAATATGCTCTCCTGGCCCCAGTCCTAAGCGATAGGATGGAATTAATTGAAGAAGTGAAGGTGACTGAAGCCTTGTTGTATAGTATTCATGTTGGTCTTGATTTTGTGATATCCACTGAAGGAAGAACTGAAAAGATCTGCATACCGGACTTCAGAAGATTTTGATAAATTCTAAGGGAAAGTAGATTGGACTCAGTAGTTTCAAATGCTTAAGGAGGAAATTATCCATGAGGATTCAGGAATCCTTTGAGATATTGACGCATAATTGCAAGCAAATCTTACAATAAGGAATGATGAAGTTTAAAAGGAAAACATGGACACATAAAGGGCTTTCTAACAAGCTGAAGCGGGAGGGGAGCCAAACAGGTATAGGAAATAAAATGGAGGAAACAAAATCAAAGAAAAATACAAGGTTATGCTCAGAAATTGTGGGAACTGGGACAGAAAGGCTAATGCTATGGCTTGAAAATAAAACAAAAATAACAAAAGGATGCAGTCCCATGGTGAGGTAAAATTAATGAATGATGGCTGATGGTGAGTTGATAGTAGATTATAATGAGAAGAGATCTTCTTATCTTAAGAAGTTAACTCTATAACGGAGCACTAGCTGCTTATTATAATATCACTGGAAAAGAGGGAACTGCATCTTAGAAGAGACAAGGAAATATCATTTTAAATGAACTTAAGTCTCCAAGATCAGATGAATTACACTGGAAAGGTTTGTCCCATCGTTGTCCCATTCTGTTATGATATCCATACACTTCTTAATAAAGTTTAGAGAAATGGAGTTAAATATATTGAACAATACTGTATATTAAAAATGTAATGAATTACTGTGTGAAGAAGGTGGATTTATTAAACATGGTCCAGGGGTAACAAAAGATCATCCTGTTGTGATGGAAAGATGGTGCCATCCCCATTTTAAGAGTCTCTGACTGATCCTGTCTTTTTGCTCTCTGCTTATAAATTGTTTTTGACATAATGGAAATATTGACCAATATTATTTTAAGTGGTGAAGGTTGAATACTACCTTTAAAACTTACATTTGGTAATCAGTTTTTTTTTTCCTTTCTCTTTCTGTTGGCTGCTGCTTTTCTAATATAACTTTTTCAAAGTAAGAACATTACCTGGATGGTCTTTTTCATTAATTTAATGGAAACCTAAGGACCAACTTTTCATAAGTAGTCCTGCACTAGTTCCAATTTAATATTGTTCCACTCAGAAGACCTCTAGTCCTCCTATAGAGTTTGTTGCCACTTTCTACATTCTGATACCTAAAAGTGAGTAGAAGAGGCTGTGAGTGGAGAAAGCTTGTGCTGCAAACTTATAAATTTTCTTTTAAGTCACTGTTATTCAAATTGATGGAATGCAAATTCGAGCAAAATTCAAATTAAGTGTCCTGATTCTATCCACGGGTCCCATCCTGCACCACAGAGACATACAGTATCCTTTTCTAGCAAAATCATACTCTACCCTTCTGCTCTTTCTACATTTAGGTAATTTTTGGTTCTAAGTTAGAGATCATTTACTACATACAGAAAAATCATTCTTTCAGAGCCATAATCTTGGCAAATTAAAGAAAATAAAAACAAATTGATTTCATAGCCTTCGTCTAGTCCACACTTGTCTGCTGATTTTAGCTTGGAACCCAAAGAATTAGTCAGAAATAAGTCTCACTTAATCGATTGGATTTGACTCCCTCAGTCAAATATATTGATGCCTACCAGATATGCCTCATCTATTGTAATTCAAAAGAATATTATCTGAGTTCGGCCAATATAGGACTGTAGTGGAAGCCCAGAGGTTCAAACTACAAATCCAAGTATTCCATGATGGGTAGATGTCAGCTTGCTCTGCCAAAATGGGCATTGACCTTAGTTTTTGTTTTTCATGATCCATCCTCTAGTTTGGCTGTATCTAAGCACAGAGCAAGAATCTGGAAATGAAATGTCTATTTGCTTGCCATATTTTGGTATATTTGTATATCACAAATGCTTAAAAAAACAATTTTGTTGAAAATACTTCGGTTATTGTAAAGATATAAAGATTGGAACAATAATGAATAAAGCTGTTCCAACAGTTTATAAATTGCCATTTTGGCAAGCAAAATATGTAGCAAAATTGTTTTCATTCCATTGCTAGCATCAATTTCCATTCACTTAATTGCAGAGGTATTAATGAGAGGGGGGGAGGGAGAAGGAGGGAAGGAGAGGGGGGAGAAGGAGAGAGAGAAATGTAGTCTAATTCAGTGATAGAAAAAATGATTCCTACAAAATGTTAGGTAGATTTACTCAGAAGCAAAGTTTTACCAAGGACTGGTAAAGTGAAGGATACAAATAAACTTGAGCAAGTTGCTGTATGAGTAGATTTAGTTCTTCAGATTTCACATTAGCAATAGAGTTGGACATATTCTCCCCAAGAATGTTCATACACTGAATTTTATTTAATCATCTATCAAGAACACATCTAGAAATTCAACAAACACCACTTTGCCTTTGTAAGCCATATGGGAAGTGATTATTTTACTGGAAACAAAATGATTTGTTTGATGTAATAGTGACATGAAGAAGTCAGCTTATTTGGGCACTTGATCCTTATTAACCAAAACTTATTAAGCAAACTAAAATCAGTTTCTACTGGGAATCTGCTGGTGGACTGACTCTTCAGGTCCTGTAAACAAATCCCCTCAAATCATTTTGCCAAGTGCATAATGGCACTAATCTGGAGTTAGTCGCCCTCCCTCATCCTATCTCCCCTATGTTCCTCTCTTAATACTTTGCAGTAGACAATTGATGCTAAGAAAATGACATATTCCCAATAATCTCTAAGGGGAAAATCCCCTTTACATTGTCTTCTTTCCTAAAACCTACTGAAGAGGGAGAGGGGGAGTTAATATTTCAAATGATGTGTGTGATAAACTATATATACATATTTGGGGTGTGTTTGTGTGTTTGTATTTGTGTGTGTATATACAGTCAGTAGAGATGTGCTTAATATTATCAGCTTTCTTCTAAGCACAAGGCTTACTGGGCAGACTTACGGGTTGGGAAGTGGATGGAAAGAGAGGGAGGGAGAGAAGGAGGGGAGGGAGAGAGACTTTCTATTGTGGGGAAACTGGAAAAGGGAGGGAAAGGGAGAGAGGAAGGAGAGAGAGGGGGGGACTTTCTATTGTGGGGAAACTGACGGAGAAAAGGAGAGCTCTATAGCCGTTCCTTTTGACAACCTGCAAGGAATTCCCAGTCCAAAATGGGATAAAATATGCTGCACCGGTGGACGGATGGATGGAAGGATGAAGCAGAGCATTCTCCAGCAGCTGCTGTTGTCTGTGCACTCCACGCACACACGCACACACACGCAAGCACCGACACAACACAAGAGTTTCCCTCCTCCCCGCCCTTTCCCCCTTCCTACCCTTTCACTCACCCGGGCTGTCGCTGCCGCCGTCTCGATCTGCCGTCCGATCCCAAACGCTGACAGATGCGGCGAAAGGCTGCGGGCTTCCTTTCTCCCTCGGAAGTAGCGAGGAGGAAGCCGCAAGAAAAGCGGACGCCCCCTGAATGGTCGCCGCTGCCCGAGACCCCGCCGTAGCGACGGAGGGACGCTCGGCGGGCGAAGGAGAGGAGGCAGAGCCCAGGGAGAAAGATCCCACAAAGAGATGCGGCCCCAGCAGCAGCAGCAGGAGGCTGAAGGGACGGAGCAGAAACAGGCGCGTTGCTGGCATGATGCTTGGGATTTCACATGCCCGGCGTTGATGCAGAGCAGTAATCATAACAACCACTCCAAACATCATCACCACCACCATCATCATGAAGCAGTTGCAGGCAGCGCCATGCCCGGCAGGAGGGAAGGGAGCGGGCGCTTCAGAGGAGCAGAGCCGCGGACGCGCCCAAAGTTCCCCGGGTCAGCGGCGAGGCGGCGGCGTTGGCGGCCGGCCCCCGGGACGGCATGGTCGAGCGGGGCGGACGCAGCTCCGGCAGTGGCCGCTCGCGGAGGTGCGGAGCCTGAAAGTAAAAGCGCCCGCAAGGGCAGGCTCCTCCTCGCGGCCGCTGACATCACACCCTGCCGAGGCTGCTCTTTCCCCTCAAACGGCCATCCCGCTCCCCTCCGCCCCCGCAGGCTACTCCTCGGGGCATCCCCCAGTTGGGACCCGGTCCTATCTGGGGAGGGGCTGGGAACGGGGGGGGGGGTAGGAGAGACGCGTATGAGAAACCCCAAAGGCGCGAATGGAGACACGAAGCACGAGGGAGACCCTGACGCGCCTGTTTGAAAGGCCGGGAGGGAAGAAGTCAAGCGTGAAGTTTGCTGGCCGACTCAGAAAGCCAGAAAACTGTCTGTATGCGTTTGTGTGTTTATGCGCGCGTATGTATGCACTCATTCCCACATCGCGGATCTCAGCTGAAGAAGAATCCTTGAGGACTAGAAACCTGGTGGTACTTTGCTTCATTCCGATGAGCTAATGCCCACCAATGGATTTTTGTTTTTTCCCTTATCTCCTATACATAGACCGAGGCAGCCAAATTGTGACTTGTGGGCTGTGGGGATTCTTAAATCAGAGCAGAGAATTTGGCTCCAAATGTGGAGTGGAGCTGTCAGAAATGTGGATGTCCTGATGTGGACTTCCAGACACACACTTCCCTACCTACACACATCTCTTTGGATATTTTCAAGCATATCAATGCATTTTTTTTCCATTTCCTTTCTCTGTAATTCAAAAGTATGTTTCATGCAATTTATTTTCAAGCAATGGTGAAAGTACTACGAAGTGATATGAAAATCATAAAAAAGGCATTTTGATGGTTTTTATTGAGGTAACTGACTATCCTGTAACAAAAACCTCAAAAGTATTTCTAGCTGAACAAACACATTTTTTCAGAGATGTGATGACTATCTACTATTATATTCAAAATCCCAGAAACAACAACAACAAAAAATCAATGCATTTACAAACTGCAGCACTTGCATAAAAGCGAGTTAGAGAGTTTTTGGAAAAGTTTTAAAATATTGGTCTGATCTTCATCAAATCTACACCCCTTAATCCAGGAATAATAAATCATATTTATTTCTCTGAACAGTTATTTATTGTCTGCTTTTTTCTAAACTATACTTCAACATTGTTCTATTTACTGCCTAATATTCACAAAACTGTGACTTAAAGATTTAAGCAGAGAAAACAGAGGGGAAGGGCGTGTGTGGTATTCATGCCAGGTGCAAGGGAAGAAAGGAGTAAGGGAGTGGATGTATTAATTATGAATAAATTAATGCAGAAAATAATTTTTAAAAAGTAAACTCTAAGATAACCATTTTAGCAAAAAAACAATGATCAATCAGTAGTGAAAATTAATGAAAATCAATGATTTGGAAAATGAACCTGTGAATTAAACAAGCCAATTAACTATGGAAAAAATGTTAGCATTAAGTGGAATGCAGTTCCTATTTTTTCAAATGTCATGGAACCAAAATAAAAATTAGCAACAAAGATAGAAAGCATTTATTAATTGAAATTACAATATTACCCCTATGAGTCCATACAGTTTAGAATATGATCGTCTAATGATAATATAATTACAGTAGTAGTCACTATTGCAGGTCACTGCTATTTTCTACTAATATGTAGATATTGTAGCTGTGTAATATTTTATTTTTCCACCTTTAATAAAAAGTAAATCATTAGAAACCTGGATATCAGCTTGGTTTGAAGGTAGAAGTGGGAGGATTGTCAAGAAAGCCAGAGAACAATGGCTTCATTTTTAATTTTATGAGTACCTTGAAGTTTCTCCTAAGTGGTCAGCAAAATAATACCTACAAGCATTCATGAATCCATGATCCCTAAAATGATATTCAACGTAACAAAAGTAGGATGAGAATAAATCTGGAATCTCATGCGATGAAAAACACTCATATCTTGCAAGATTCGTAAATGGAAATTACCAATGATTCAGCACTAGGACTATTACGTAAGATTGTATAATGATGCCTCTAGATCAGAACTGATTGATGCCACATTAAGATAAAGCAATCTGCATTAATATAATTTTTTCTCAAAATTAAAATTATGTTGCAGAAGATAGTCAAAACCTTCACCTTCCATTTGCTTCCCACTTATCACATCCATCTTCCATCCTTGCAATGTGAATTCCTACTTAGAAGCATTAATGTGCTGCTGAATCATGAATTTAAACTCATGGCAACAGCAATCTGATATAACATTAAAGATAATCACTTGCAAAGAAAAAAAAGCCCACAGGCATAAATGATTGCTATTTGCAGTTTTTTGGAGAAAATAAAGTACCACTGCATTATCCTCAAAATATTACACTAATGTTTACTACTGAAAATGTTCTTTGTGGATAGTTAGGAGGCTAGAATATTTTTTTTAGTTTTTTTCCACTATTATTCTCCTTACTGCTACAGAAATTACCATGCATATCCTTATTTTCCAGCTTTAAAGAGGTTTATTTATTCATTCATTACATCTGTATAAAATGTAAACCACCAACAGTATAAGAATTATCTGTGATTCCTTATGCAGTTGTAATTTCTGCATGAATTTAATACAATTCCACACTAACAGTAACAATTGTGTTCAGTTGTGCTACTGTTGGCTTACACCATTTCCATCCCTCTCCTTTTACCTCCAGAATTTTATTTCCCTTAATTTTATCCTTATGATGGACTTATACAGTGAGATATATACAGGTAGTCCTCAATTGAGCCCAGAATTTATGTTGCTAAGTGAGAAATTTGTTAAGTGAGTTTTGCCACATTTTACAACTTTTCTTGCCACATTTGTTAACTGAATCACTGCAATTATTAAAATGAGTAACACAGTTGTTACATGAATCTGGCTTCCCAAATGACTGCTTGTCAGAACGTTGCAAAAGATCCAAGACACTCCAGTTGCCAATCATCTAAATGTAAATCACGTGATCATGGAGATGCTGCAATGGTCATAAGTATGAAAAACGATTGTCACTTTTTTCAGAGCTTTTGTAACTTCAAATGATCACTAAATGAACCGTTGTAAATCGAGGAGTACCTATACTGAGATATAAGATAGCTTTCGAGACTGGATAATTAATTGTCTCCCAGGGTCATCATATCATGATGTTGGCTATGTATTATGGACCATGTAGCTGTCAAATCCAAGATCCCAGTTATGGAATAAAATCAACTGTTCTTAAGTTTATTTTTCACAGGTAGAATCTGACACAAGCAATCATATTTTCAATGAAAGGAAATGAAGGAGCCAGCAATGAAAAAGTGCTTTGACTTTTCTGCATTTTTTTCTTTCCTTTTTATATCTTATCCTATATTTGATGCTCTCATTTCTTTCAGTTCTTTGCACAAGTAGGATACCCTGAATGCCTTAAATCTAATATTCTAAAGCATGTAGTCATCACACTTGAATTAGCTGGGTAATTCTGACATAAAATTTAGGTATGGCATGCCTTCCTTCTGTCATAAACATTTTATTTCAAAATAAAAATCACATATTTCTTCTTTCTCGGTCACAGAAACATGCATAACCTAGTTTTGGTGATTAACAAGCTTCAAATGCTTTTAATTATACAATTACACATTTATCCAAATATGGAATAACAGATCATCAAACCAAGTAGTTCAAAGGAACTATTTAGACCATCACCACTCAACCCTCTGTTTGCTGTACAAATCTAAATTAGGCATTCCTCACAATGGGTTATCAAGCCTCTGCTTGATCACATCTAGAGAAATGGAATATACTTCTGAAAGTAATTGATTCCACTTCCATTCCACACTGATTTTTATTGTTGAGAAGTAGTTTAGCTTATTTGTTTTGCACACTTTAAGCATTAGTATGTAAACAACAAAACAGGAACGTTATAAGCTATTTTTTTCCTGATTTTTCATTGGCATAGTAAGCCCCATTACAATCAGTAGCCCATGTATGCGGCAGTAGAATGTGTGCGGTAGCCACATTCTAATCTGAAATACTCACATATAATGGATTTACCCAATGATTAATTTATTTAACACAATTATTTTTTTAAAAACAAGAAATTTGGATACATAAGGCCAGTTTTTTAGGATCTAAATGCCATCTATAAAACATCTTATAAGTTTTCTCTCAAATTTTGTGTAAATTTTACATTTCTTACCCAAATCTTTTCCCATGTATCCAACATTATTGGTTCTTCAAAATTTTGTGCCCACTTTATCATACAGTCTTTAACTAATTCTGTTTCCGAACCAATTTCTATTAATACATTATATAGTCTCTTTATATGCATTGGACTTTGATCCCTAATTTGTTTTAATAAATTATCCTCGTCTTGCATAAGACTGATTTTTTGATCTTTTTTACATCTGGCCTGTAACTGCCCATACTGAAACCATGTTTGAATGGCCTTTTCCTCTTTTAGAACATTCAAGGATTTTAATTGTAATACACCTCTTTCTAAGGTAAGAAGCTGTCTGTATGTAATTACGTCTTG